GTGGACAGGGGATTTCCATGAAGCAGTAGCTCAAAAATATGAGATTTGTTAAACTGAGCTTTGCCTACAGTCTGCTTTAGAGGCAAGTAATTTTTGAAACTTTATATCTGCATGTAAGCTCTATTGCAGATGTGACTGTAAGCATTCAGTATAGTTATTCTGGCATCTGAGTTTCATACTGAAAAAAATGAGCTTTGCTATTCAGAGGTTGTGACTCTGAAAGGAGTGGTGGGATTTATTGCCCAGTCACTCCTTTACGGCAAAACAAGTGCTCTGATAAAGGTTTTTCTATTCAGTGCTTTGTCTTAAATGCATTAAGGCAGTGCTGCTGTGTGATGTGCTCTCCACCCCACAAACTCATAAACAGGACCATCAAATACTTGTGCTCAGAGGATTCACCATCAAAGCAAACATTACTTCTCGGCCCCCAGGTAACACTGTACTTCTATTTCAGGAAATTGAAGTGGGTGGTGGCAGAAAAGCCATCATTATCTTTGTACCAGTTCCTCAGCTGAAATCCTTCCAGAAGATTCAGGTGCGGCTAGTTCGTGAGCTGGAGAAGAAATTTAGTGGAAAACATGTGGTGTTCATTGCTCAGGTAAAACATTTTAGAATTATAAAAATGTTGATTTGAAGGGATCTGTGGAGGTGATCTAGTCCAGCTTCATGCATGATCTGGGATTGCTTACAGCATTAGATCAGGTCAGCCATGGTTTTGTCTAGCTGAATCTTGAAAACATCCAGGATTCCACAGCCTCTCTGGATAACCTGTTCCAGTGCTGCATTACCCTTCTGTCTTGCCCGTTTAAGGTAACAGTGATACAACACGTATTTTTGTTCCAGCAGGAAATGTAATGAGTGTCCTGTGGATGTTCGGTAAAATGATTTCAGCTGGCAGCTGAGGCTGTGTAAACTTGGTGAGATGTGAAGCTTTTTTGTGAAGAATAAAACTTTCTTGTTCTGACCTCTCTTACTTCAGAAGTTTGAGAAGCAAAGCTTGAAAGTAAAAGGGAGCAAATATTAGTAGGTAGTTTACTACACTTACATAATCTAAGCACTCAGAATTCAAGTTAATAGGAGAGGAAGAAAAAAATCTAACTCAAGTTCTAAATTTCTGGAGGAGCTAGGGCATGGAAAGGCGATGGAGGGCTTTCTGGGCAGTACTGAGAGGTGGACAAACTGGAGAGCTGTCTGCAGAGTGGACAAGCTGTTATTAGTGAAAAATACTTCTTTAAATAATGCTAAGAGGCAAAGCACCTTACCCTGAATCTTCATGTGACCAAGAACGTTTATTTTAATGAGGTCCCTCTGGCTCACTTTACCTATGTGCTTGAGAATTCCTTGTCAGTTCAGTAATACGCATTTTAGAGGGGACCATGTGCAGATCTTCTGCTGTAGGTGAAATGTTCTTGAGTATGATATGACTCAGTTTGGGTTATGGTAACCCCATCATGAATACAGTCATGGAGAAGCTGTGGTGTGATGGTAGAAAATACTTCAGGTGGCCTACAATTGCATGTAAAACTCAGTGTTTTAAAACACCTACCCTTCAGCAGGGAAGTAGAAAATAGGTTTTACTGATCTCAGGTGCTATAAATTCCTTTGGATCCTTCTTTTGGAACAGGTTACATTTTAGCCAGAGTTTAATCTGAATTGTGTAATACATCTCATTTTTCAAACTAATGTAACCCAGCTGTCTGTGGGACTGAGCTCACTACACTGGGTTGCACCAGAGGCTCAGTCTCGCAGAAATTGTAAAATTCTCTGGAATTTCTGTTCCCAGGGAAGTGTGTCCACATTGCTAATGAGACCCAGTAAACTTCTTGGTTGTATTCATGGGGAGAGGGGATGAAGTACAAAACTTTTATTTCAATGCACTGAATACAAGATTAGTAGTTGAGAAATAAAGAAATGAAGCATTTTAGCTTCTGCAAGTAACTTGAGGTTCTAATAGTGGTGTAGCTTTGAGTATCCTTAACTCTCCCTTTTTGATTTTTCGTGCATTTTCTGGTTGGAGGAGAAGGTGCGTGTGTTGTTGATGGTTTTGAGTATATTGCAACGACTAGATACTGAGAAATCCCTTTGTTGTTGTTTGATTTGGTTTTGTTGTTTTACTTTCTTAACAGAGAAGGATTCTGCCCAAGCCAACAAGAAAAAGTCGCACAAAAAACAAGCAAAAGCGTCCGAGGAGGTTAGTAAATAATACTAATTCAGCATGACAACCTTCATACTAAACTGGTAGTTTAGTCAAATAATGGGTAGTTGACGCTATGATTAAAAACAAAGGTAGAGCCCTTCCCAAATCTTTGTTCTGGAAGCCTAGCCATGATGATGATGATGGGTAGTTGAGTTTTTGAGAAGTAATTCAAGTGTTTAAGTGGTCTTGTCTTTTCTCCTACTGCTTCAAATAGTATCTGCCATCTGACTGCCAAAGTGTGCAGTAGAAAGCTCATGTTTGGATACTGTGTTGCATTTCTTAGCACTCCATCTGTATTTCTAGCTACGGCCGTAGCTAACTTTTAGCCAGTAATGCTGGCTTAAGAAACCCCAATTTGCTCTCTTGTTATCACAGTGTGCTGACAAGAATTATTTTTTTCTAAGTTGTAGGAAGAGCCACTTCCACATCACATGTTAAACTGTACAGAAGTGAAGGCTGGCACACTGAAGGGGATGCAATGAGGGAGAGAGTGGCTGAGGAGGGTTATAGGTATGAGTACTAGTCCCTCTGGGTATGAGTTTATTAGCAGTAGTATAGTCATTTGTGTTAAATGGCCTCCCTTGCTCTTATCTAGTGTCTTAATTGCTAGACATGCAACACTGCTATATCATCTATGCTGTTCTACATCTTGCTGTATCATTATGTGGTCTTAAAAGTTTATCCTCTTTATGAGATGTGGCATGTCCTACAACTTCTCCCAGCCGCAGTATTATACCTCTGTTATTTGTGTTACTGTATTTTGCAATCTTTAGGCATGGATTTTAAAACTGCAGTTTCATAGTACTCATCTGCAGTCCGGCCTTTGGAGGACTCTGCCTATGTTCTGTTAAAACTAGTATTGCACAGTGGCTGGAGAAGTTGGCATCTGTGTGTGTGATTAGCATCCTGGCAGTTTCTGCACGAGGGAAGGCAAGTGTGCAGGACTGACTGGACCTTGGAGAGGTCAGGCTGGCGGTGTAAAACTGCTGTGTGCATTAAGAAGCATAGAAATGTGATTGATGTTGGTCTCCCTTAGCTATCCCACTATTCACAGGTTTCAAGTGCTGCTGTAGACATAGCTCTTAAATACTAGTGGTACTGCCTTGAAACTGCAGATAGAGATGCTGGAAATCTTATTAGTTCTCTAGACTCGTGCAAAATAGCTTGGGCTAATTTTTCTTATTTTGGCTCTCTTCTGGACAGTTCAAGAACACACATGTAGAAATCAGTCTTCTAAGCGTGGACTAAACTTACTAGCTAGTCTTTTCCTGTAGTACATTGAAGTTCTAAACCACTTGGCCTTAGGCAGATGAAGAAACCAGTGTTTTCAAAACTGAGTCTTCTATGAATGTATTCTGTGTAGCTGAAGGTATTTGCACACTTAAACTCTTCCAGTGAGTGTCTCTGGCAGAATTGCAGGTGGGACAGTTTGGTTCCAATTTAAATAAAATATTCCTTAAATAGGTAGAAATAGAAGAATGTTTCAGGACCGTTAAAAAACAATGCGTGATCTAAAAGGTCAGAAACCTGGCTACTTTTCCCCCTTGTCACTAAGTTTCTGCACTTACTGTAGAATTAGCTTTTATTTTTGCATAACCTGTGATAATGTGGTATTGTCACACTGTGGCATTAAGATAAAAAATGCTACTGAATTTTCAACTAAAGCATGCTTACGAAAGGCTTGACAAACCAAGGTTTTCAAGAGGATGTGTTTTAATGATACCAAGAGGATGTGTTTTAATGATACCAAGAGGATGTGTTTTAATGATACAAATGTGGCCTTTCAGCCGTACGCTTACTGCAGTGCACGATGCTATCCTTGAAGACCTGGTCTTCCCAAGTGAAATTGTGGGCAAGAGAATCCGCGTAAAACTGGACGGCAGCAGGCTTATAAAAGTCCATCTGGACAAGGCACAGCAGAACAATGTTGAACACAAGGTAAATGAAAAAATTTACTTTCTCATGCAGGTCAGGATGGCATTCTGACATCACTAAGAGACTGCTTAGTGATAAAGAGTCCCTTTTGGCTGTAGAGATGCTTCTGTCTCTGGAATAAGGTGCTGAAGATGAAGCAAGATAGTTTTGAAGTAAAGCTCTAGTTCAACTTGCTAAAGCCCCTGGATTGTAAAGTAGCTATATTGGTACCTTTCATGGGAACAGACTGTGTTTTGTTGGGTTTTTTTGTATTTTTAGAGGTCAGTTGGGTTGTTTTGTTTAGTTGGTTTTATTGTTTTTCAAGTGAAGCACTTACTTTTGACCTTAAACAGATGTGCTTAGTGCAGCCTGCACTTTGCTTGGCCTTGTTCTGGAGGGGTGTGTTTGGGCCTGCTCAGGTGTCAGGGTCTCCCATGGTTGCAAATCAGAGCATGTCTGAATACTCTCCAGAAAACGTATCTTCTGTGTAAATGCTCAGCCACCTTAATCTAAAAGAAAATTAGCCTTAGAGCTCTTGTCATAGTGAAGATAAAGTGGCAAATAATTGAGTAGCTTAAGTATGTTAACTTAGAGTTACTTTTTTTACACAGAATGTGTAAACAAGATTATTTGTCTTCACAGGTGGAAACATTTTCTGGTGTCTACAAGAAGCTCACAGGCAAAGATGTGGTGTTTGAATTTCCAGAATTCCAGCTGTAAAGTGCAAAAAATGGCTGAATAAACAACTGTTCATATAACAGAGTAATTTCATTTAAATTTTGAATTCCATAAACACAGATGGGGATTAACTGGTTCATGGGACTTCCCTGCTGTCTAGAGAGTGACACTTGTGTATCCAAGTATTAAGACCATCAGCAGTTTAACAGTATCCCTCTTAGTTTATTCTTGGCACTGTTGCAACACAACTCTGGACAAAAGAGTCCAGAGTCTGCAAAAAGAATTGGCAATGAAAAACCTAAGTATTGTGAGTCTCATCTTTTGGGGAGAATGTGGAGAATTACTGTAGAGCAGTGGAACTGCTGAGTTTTGGACACAAGAATACCACTTGGAGACCTACATGTTCCTGATAAAGGAAGAAGTCTACGTAGCAGGTGATGTGTGACTTCTGAAGTATGAAGCATTGACATCTGAATAAGGGGGTTGAATTCTTAGGGAAGTATGCTGGGGGAGGTATAGGTTGAATTTGAGGTATCTTAAATTGCTCTTAAATGGCAATATTACCTTCCAGTTCTTACCTAAAAGCAAATCCTGTAGCTTCTCACCTTTATCAAAATGAAATGGGGAGAAATTTTCACTTCAGAGTTTTTTACTACATTACTGGATGTAAATTACAATTTTTTAGCTATTGGTCTTGCTTTCAGAAATGTTTGGTTTGTTTTTTTTTTTTTTTAAGTGATGTTTTAACATGGTTCAATACATGCTGGAGGGTACAGAGAGGTGGGGAAGGACTATGTGTTCTGACATCCAATGGCTGAATGGTAGTGTCCCATTTTTACTTCAGTACCTTTGCTTAGCACCACTTTACACAAGCTCAGATGGGAGCATGGAGTTGGTCATGTAAAGTTCTGTGCAGATTACATGAATTATTCGTAATAGCCTGTTGAGTACAGTCAGTGTTTAACAGTAAAAGACAACTAATTATGGAGTCAGTCTACTTGGTGGAGAGCTAAGTTGGGAAGAAGTTGTATAACAGGAGCTCTTAATAACTTGCATTTTCCTACCTGAGAGTAGATGGAGAACAAGTACTACATACTGAGGGTCTTCGTACCTTTGCTTCCTTTTCCCATTTACTGTCGTTTTGTTGTTTCCCATTTGACACCTCTTATTTAGCGGTGGAGAGATATAAGGTTAAAACAAGTTCTGTGTTTCAGTGCTTTTGCATTGAAAAAGTCAAGACTTTAACACAAGTTATGGCATGACTTAGAAGGGCAGGACAGGTAGCTGTGTGCTGTTAACTTTTGGTTCAGAGAATGCAAAGAGAAGGAAAATATGTGCCCCGATGCAATTAGTAGGTAATTTCCTGCTACTTGCTGACAAGGCTTGAATGTTTGCAGAAAAAGCAGGTTGCATCTTTGAAGAAGTTGCCTTGCCTTAAAGCCTTTTTTTGTCTCCTTTTCAAACTCAAGTCTCTGGAGGATAAGCTTAACTCCTTCTTTATTCCTTGACTGTTTATTGTTTTGTCTTGGATGATTCAGCAGAAGTGAATTCAACAGCTTCCCTTAGTATTAGATGAGGAGATTTGTAGGTATAGAATAACTGCAAATCCTGTCTCCTTTTGTGGAGAATAATTGTAAAAGGTCTTACACTAGGAGAGCCAGAACTTCAGAATTTTAAGTTTTCATTGCTAAAATGGATATTACTTAGGTTGGAAATACCACCTCTTCCAGTCCCCCCAAAATAATTCTAGTCTTGAGTCAAACACATTACTAAGCTTCCTGTTCCAACAGTCACAGATGGCAGCCTGTGCAAATAGAATTTTGCTGGTGTAGGTTGGAAGAAGCAGTCTGGGGAGTATTTGGAGGCTTACCAGATGTTAACTATCTTTAGTTAGAGGTTGGTAAGTCTGCTGGGACTGTGTAACCTCTGCAAGAAGAGGTGATCCTCAGCAGGCTTCAGTAGACAGCATTTCCTATTTTGTGATGAAATGTAACTCAGATTTGATCTCTTCATCATAATAAAAATATCATTAGAGTTTCTTTTGAAGCACTGGGAGGGGGTACATGGGGTAGGAGAAATCTAGTAAACTGAATGTAAAGATTGCAAATGTTCCCAGGCATTACCAGCTGGCTATAGATTTTTCTTGGCTCTTGTTGCAAGCCCTTTTGAACCAGATGAAATGCAAAGGCCCGTGATGGCCCCATAAGCAAATTCTTTGAGTGAAAGGATAACACTGTCAAAGCCCTTTATGGTTTTTACATCAACTAAGCTACAAGTAAAGGTGGATTTTTGTGGCATAAAAATACAAGGCTGTGTGCTTTGCGAAAGACTTTAGTCCTAATTTACCTTTATTCACAGACTCCCTCGTGTGTTTGTGTCAGTGATCCTGTCAGACAAGTCCCTCTGTCCCTTGACAGGCTTATCGAGTGCATGCCTGCAATCTGGAAAGTGAGTTGATGCCATCTGGTCAAGTGCTAATGAGGCTGCTGGAATGCTGGTGTCAAATGTTACCTTAACCTAAGCAGACTCCATGTGAGATGATGCTAGACTTTTTCCTATACTTTTCATATACTGGCACAGTTGACCTCTGAACGTGTGATTCCTCACTGAGTTTTATCAGCTGGTCTGGGTGAAAATGGAGGGCATTCTGTACAGAGACCCTGTGCAGCAGTAGTATGTGGGTGGTGTCAGTGTGAAGAGACAGCCATGTATTGAAGAGTATGAAAAGACCAGTTCTTTCCTGTAGTCACCCCAAATGAGAAGCAAGGGAAGGCTTTATGTCTGTTAAGTGCTCTTGAGACTTCCATCTGATATTAGAGCTTTAATTGTTTATTTCATATGCAGCCTTTCACAAATGTCTTCAAATATTTGTTTATACAAGCTTAGTTCCCTGGTGATTTTCATTTGAAAAGGTTTGTAGGTGTGTCACAATTCTGGTGTGGCAGAACTTGCTTGAAGTTTTGGATGGTAAGTGCTTAACCTCTTTTGTATTAATATGATAATGCATGATAGCATCATGTCTGAGTAGCCCCTCTTGAGTGTAGGTGGGAACAACTGGTGAGTTTTAATGTGTGAAGGAAATCCTATCACTCCTCCATCGTGGACTGAAATAATCTATTTCCTATGGTTTTGTTTTTCATGAATTTTTTAAGTGGGAGGCCTGAGTTTTGATTCTTGGTTACATTTGGAAGTCAGCTAGACTTTTTCCACTTTGTGGGCTGTGCTATCTTGGCCACTAGAGGTGTATCAGAATGACAGAGATAAAGATACTGATTACAGAAAGTTACGAAGCCTCATAGAAAGAAGGCTGGTGGTCAGGCTGTGGAAGTGTTGAGTTTCCCTCTCCTCCACTGCAACATTGATCAATACCAGTGCTTGACTGCTTTTTAACAAAGTGACTTTGCTCTGCCCCTTGCTCCCTGCATTAAGAGTGCTCTTGTGAAAAACCTGCATTGTTCTGAGAGCAATAGAAAAGTGACATGAAATGTCTTTGTACTCGTGCTCTGTTCCCTGCTGAGAGCAACAGCTAAAGGATCTTATTTGTCTTGCCATCAAGAGGATAAGGTTTGTTGGATTTGTTACAGTCTATGAGTTCGGGTATCCCCTCCTCTACCTTCTAGTTACTGTTATTCTGTCTTGTTTTCAGGAAGATCGTTGGTATCTTAACAAGCGTTTGCTGCTAGGTGTTGCTAACTGATGAATAGCTAGCGTTTTTCATTATTGGATATCGAGTTAACATGTCTTGGCTCAGTTGTGTTCTGCGCCTGGAGCAGCAAAGATAGAATTAAATCCAGGCACTGAAGAGTGCAACATCACTAATGAAGTTGAAGGCCAGATTTTGCACAGCTGCAAATAATTCCTGTGTATTGCTGTGTCTGCACTGATCATTCCCACCATACACCCCACCATACATACATATTGCACAAGAGAGGTGGTAAGGATAGCTGCTGGTGTCTGCCTGCCCACAGAGGGGCAGTGGTGCTGGGACTGTGCTAAGGAAAGCGGTTCCTATGGGTATCTTCATAGGGATAGATCTACAGACTGGTTTTTACCAGAGGTACTTTAATGTTTATTAATAAAGTTTCATATTTGCATAGCTAAGCAGTTACTGTTACGTGAAGCCAGAGGGAATGGGACACATCATTACATTATCTGGATAGCGGAGGAGGAGTTACAGTCAGTGTGGCTGTGTGCAGGTCTGTACCATGGAGGAGTCCTGCATCTCCTTGCCTCTTCTGGGAGTATTTTGGGAGTGCCCTGGGAGGCTTACTAAGGGCTGGTTAGCGAGGCAGCCCTTACTTTTAAGAGCCAGAACAGCATTTGTAATGGCCTGCAATAAACTGAGCTCCAGCAACTGAGCTCAGGTATTGACTTATTAAGTTAGTTAAGCCCTTCTGTATATGGACCATGCCTTTTTCTCTGTTACATGAATAAAAACTATGTATTTACTTATTTTCCCCTTTCCTAGAGAAAGCACTTCTACTGCATTTATAGCATTTGCCCTTTCCTTTTGAATTCTGTTAATTTATGGTTGTTTTCACATGTTTGTTTTTACTTCTCCATCAGCAGTGTTGAATCCTACCTTTTCTACTACACTTTCGCTGAATGGCTCTATTTCTCCCTTGAATTCTTTTTCTGGCCTCAAAGTTATTTGCCTGTGTTTACAGGGAGAGTAGATATGTATGTAAATGGAATTGTCTTTGCCATGGTAATATGATCTTCAAAGGCTTGGACTGCAGTCACTTTGCTGCATTCTTTACATAAAATGTTTGTCTTGGGAAGTTGCTGCCAACAGAGTTCTGCAAGGGCCCAATCCTGCTAATTGCCTGCTGCTTCCACTGAACTGGTGGGGCTTATATGCAAAAAAACCCCAAAACCAAAAACAAACAAAAAACCCCAAACAAACAAAACCCCCAAAAACAAAACAAACCCACAAACAAACAACAACAACAAAAACCAACAAAACCCAAACATGAACTTTCAAATTAGTTATATGTTCTTTACGCAGTTATGTCCATGTTCTGCCATTTTGTCCTTCCTTTACTGATGTGATCTGGAAGTGATCATTGGTTCTTAACTTTTCACGACCATTTGGTGTGTGTTAAAATACAGGAGTCTGTAGCAATGGAGGAGGGTAGCTAAGTTCCAGTCCAGGGTGGTTTAGGAGAGATCTGCTTTTATGAAGGCAATCCACAGGGAGTCCTGAGTATGAGGCATCACTACGTCTTTTTGTACCTACTTTCTATCTTCTCCAGCAAAGGTGGTCAGTGTATGCTTCGCTGTGGGCTGCAAAATCATGAGCTGTTGTGGGTAAGGAAGTTGTACACCCCAGGGCTGAGGAGAGGATGCATAATGTCGTGAGCAAAGCAGGAAAAGAATACCTCAGTATTGTGTGTCATCAGCTTGTGTTGCAAGCCCCACCACAAAATTCTCAATGGAATGGACTTATGCCTTCCACCAGAGTGGATCTGAGAGGTGATAAAGTGAACGCTCACATGATTCTATTGCAGCGTCCTCTAGTCCCTCAGTTTTCTGTGTTCAAATACTTTCCTAATCTTGGGACTGTGGAAGATGGAAAAGAACTTCCTGCTACTGCCCTTAGGTCCCATCCTGGTCTTCCAGTAAGAGGTCACATATTGGGAGTTACCCAGGCTCCCAGCCCTCTGGGTGCTTGCTTACAGCATGACCCCTCAAACCTTAGCTGGAAGAACTGCAAGGGAGGAACAGTGGCATAGGGTGGAGACAGACAATTCACAAGCCTTTTTTGTAGCTATCAGATGTTTGTATGCTATACTGTCTTACAAATATAGCAGCTATTCATTAGAGGATATTAATTGGTATAGTCATAAGTGCTACTCTCCATTTGCTCTGGAAACTGAGAGAGAAACCATTTATATCTGTTGGAGTATAAACTTCTGTAACAGTGGGGGGTGTTCTCAAAATCCCACTTACCACAGTCAGCTGGCCCCATTTGTTTTCCTGCTTGAACATATGTGGAGTACTGTGGTTTACCCAGCACTCAAACTAGTATAGCTGTTTAAGGTAAAAATCACAATTGTTTATTTAGAAGCTATTTTTGATGTCACAGAAGTGATATCAAAAGGTGTTTTTAAAAAAATAAATCTACGAGGTGCCTGCCATGTGGACAATTTAGCGTTTACGTTATTGTGGAACGTTGAGATGTGGCTCTGAAATAGTTGCATGTTTTTCTCAAGTCAAGAATGTTGAAACCAATTGCAAGAAAGGGGAGAATTTCAGTAAGGGGAAAGTGTGTTAATTATCCATGCAAGATGTTCACACTTGCTGCAGTGTTTCATGTGTTTTCATATCTGCTGAAGCAAAGCAAGAAGTGTTGTGCTGGGGCAATGTGCATGCATGGCTTAGAGCTGAATAGATGTAAATGGTTAAAAAGGGGTTCTCTGCTAGAGAGGAGGAGGGGAAAGTAAGAGTGCATTCCCAAAAAAGTACATTCCCAAAATAAAAAGCTTACATCATGGACCTCTTCAGTTTTCCCACACTTCTTTCCTAATTATTGTCCTGCAGGACAGCTGATCTATTTCAAACAGGAAGCTGTTTACAGATAACACTTGCAACTGTTTGTCTGATTTGTTGAACTGTCGAAAAGCAAAAGACAACCTCTTTTCAAATTAAAAACTGTCAGACTTCTGTAAACAGCAGCAATGAGGTTCATCTGTGCAGTGTCCCTGCAGGCACAGAGCATTCTGCAGTTCCCATTTTCTCAGCAGCCATAAGGTAAGAGACTTTTATGCTTTCATTCTGTAGAAGCAAGTAGAGGAAAAAGTCTGAATGTTTGTTAGGGGGCTGCCTTGTATAAGACAAAATATGACTGACAATCCCCAAATAGTAAGGGAAGGTAAGGAAAATAAGAGTTTAATATCTATCGGGTAATGCTGGAGCTTTCTATTGTGAATCACCCATGTGGGTTAGATCACTGAATTCCTGTTTAGTTTAGGGGGTTGTATTTAAAATGTACAAATGCCATTGGAAGAGCTCATTTTCTTTTTAGCAGGGAAGGACAAAGCAGTATATGAATTTTAACTTTTTCTACAATTGAAACTTATTTTAGTTCATTAATGGGTTGTAATTCCTGGTAACAGATATAGGCGGTTGTATGTTTTCTACTTTAAAAAGTGGTCTTTTAATACAGCTGCAAAGCAGGGAATGAAGACTGGCATTGCAGAATTGAAACATGACAGAAGGTCCAGTAGGAGCTGGAATTACACCACTGAATAATTAAGAGCAATCTCAATGAAAACCAAATCATGTTGGAAGTAGTACTATGCAGAAATGTTTAATGAGATATAAGGACATATAAAGATAAAAAATCTAAATGAGCAGGGATATGAGAATAAACCATACTTCAGTAAGCAGAAGGGCACATGTCTGCTTCTCAGTCACAAGCTATGAAAAATCAAGGTTCATAAGGGATTTGCGAGTTTCCATTCTGACCTCTGTGCATACATGCATATGTGCTCAGTATAGGCAGTGAAGTTGTGAAGGGGGATTGTTTTCTAGCAAAATCAAATAGATGTGGAGAATTTTACCCAACTTTACTTGCCATATAGTGAAACAGAGCAACTGGACTGGAAATCCTACAACTTTGACCCTTGGGTATTGGAAGATTTTTAAAATATGGCAAATGTAAAAACTGTTCTATGTTTTCCTCTCTATAGCAGAGATCTTTTGTACTTCATATCTATATAATCATTTACATGATCATGAATATTTAAGGCATTATAGTGATCAGAAAATACAATACAAACACTGATTTAAAGATCTCACTTATAAGAATGATATTATCCCTAAAATTTTAGTATGTTACTTAGGCAGCATTGGTATGCTGATGTTGTAGACAAGAAGTTAGACTTCCAAGTTTAGTATTCCTTTTAAAAATGTTTAGACTGTCTTTCAAAAAATTCTTAGATGTATCTCTTAAATTATTGTTTGAATTAATATATGAAAGAAAATATGTAACTTAAATTCATAGTCAGAATGGCATTTTAAGCATGGCGTAGTCCTAGAGTCAGAGAATTGCAGTGTGGAAGCAGCAAAAATCTACTGTGTAATTTGTAACTGTACATTATGTTCAAGGCTATTTTCTCTGATTACTTTTGAGTGATTTTACACTGTTTCTAAAGTTCTTATTTAGTCATCTTTAGGGCTGTCCAAAAACTCCTGAGCCAGAATCCTTTTGAAGTAGGAAGACTTTTGCCAAAGTAGCTTTTTAAAGTAAAGTGTCAGTTCTCTGGGATAATGTAGTTCTTTTGTCAAATTATTTTGGCTGAAAACCAGGAGAGTTTAACCAAAAATATTCTCATGGTTTCTCTGGGGAAGTGTAGTTTGTGCTTTGCACTGTATTTCACTACTGGCTGAACTTCCAGCTGAACCACGCTTCCCATACAGCTGTGTGGTCAGGGTCTTGCTGTTTTAATTTCCCTTGATAAAAGGAGTGTTAAGATGTGTTTTGGAAAAGGTAGTCTAGTGAAAGAGGCGCAGACTGGGCTCATAAGGCATTGGCTGGTCAACAACTAGTTGGCAGCTTAAATTTCGACTGCTTCCTTCTGTTTTGCAGTTGAACCACAGGCCATCCTGGTTTTCAGCCATGAGAGTAGGACCCTTCAAAACAGTGTGGTATGTCAGTTGAAGATTTAAAGCCTTTTGATGTTTTTATCCACGCAAACAACTGTACAAGGAAGAGAATATTTAATAATGTTTCTAAGGCTTTGTTAGTGCTTCTGCCAACTTTTGTTCTAAATGTGCTCCATTTTATGTATTTGGAACTGAAAAATGCAAGGGAGTATGGCTGGATTTAAAGATCTTTTAAGAACTCTGAAGTTAAGAGGCAAACAACCTGATAGGAGCCTAAAGCTTTAGAAAGAGATGGTTTTGAAAATCCAGCAAGGTCTCATCTCGCCCATCTAAGTGCCTCTTCAGAAAAATCTAGTCCTGGGTGATTTGCCTCTAGTTGTATAAGATGACTGTAAGCAAGAAAAGAATGGAAATTGGTCTGCTCAAGTTCTTCATTAGTGTACCAGTCTCTTACTTGTTCATAAGGATCCAAGGATCCTTAGCTGCTAGGACTGTTTGGATGCTGCTGCCTCAAAATTGTATCAGAAGACTGGCTAGGAGGTCCATAGGTGTCCCGGAGGCCAGGACAGAGCAATAAGACAGATAATGGGGATTTAGAGTTTACATTGGTTTCCTTCTGCAACAAATCACAGAATGGCTTGGGTTGGAAGGGACATTAAAAAGTCATCTAGTCCAGTAGTAAAGCACATGAATGAAACATAGACATGAGCAAACAGTTTCACAGTGCTGCAAGGTAGATACCAAGCTCCTGACCAAGAATCAGCAATGATGTTTAGCTGCTGTTTGGAGTGAATGGAGGAGACCTAAGTGCTGAAGAAAGTGACTCACCACAGACAACCATATGTGTGAGGGCCACAGCAGCTGTCTGAAAACTGCTTGTGAGAAAGGTGCTTCATGATTCCCTCTGTTGGATGTAGGAGTGGATACATTCACTATCTCCAGTGCCAAGTGCCTGGAGGAACTCAAGTTCCAGGAGGTGGAAGCTTGCCTTGAATGCATGTGCCCAGTTTTCCTTCAAGCATGGAGGCTTTGAAAAATGGCTCTGAGAAAAGTTTTCTGCAGTTCTCTTTGAAAAATGGACTGCTGCTACTAGCTGTCATGTAATAACCTACTGTCCAGGACCACTTAACTGGGAAGCAGGAGATATAGATGCAGCTCATTGAACTGCTTCAAACCTCCACCTCCCATCTGCTGAAAAGGTACCCTTGTCCCTAACCAACATAGTAATTTGGAAATGGGACCACTGTGGTTTGTGTCCACAGCTCCCAAGACAGTTTCTAATTGTTGATACTGCTTTGAATTTATACAGGAAAAAATTGAAAGTCTAAACAGTCCAGGGAAGACTTCGGCATGAAGACTTGCATAAGAAGCTAGCCTGCAAGAGAGAGGCATCTCCCCACCATGTTTTAGAAGGGAATGGCAGTGTTTTCTATCCTTCCTGTTTATGATGTACTTAGAGGAGACTGAATGAATTTGGATATGTTTCCTTGACGGTCATAAATGGACTAGGTGGGAGAATAGTGTCTTGTTCTCTTCAGGCAAGATGTTGACCATCTCTGGTCTGTGCAGTGAGAAAAGCTTAGGCACTCAAGTTTCCCAATAATAATAATAATGGCCAGTCTTCGCGAGCGAAGATCCAGGGAAGGTCTTTACACCTTCCAGCCGGAACCTACTGCCTCTTAAGGTGACTGAATTGCTAGGATATGTTTTTGGATACTTTGAACTTGGGATGAGACCATGGATACAGATTCGGGGGTAGTGTTGACTTAAGCAGGTCTCATCTGGAGGTTTAGGGGTGAAGAATGTGGGCAAAGGATGGAGAGCAGAAAGAGAAACTGCTTCAGCTTCGGCTGGTTTCTGAGTAGGGATCTTGAAGAATAAAGCTATGTCCATAGGTGTGCTTAGGTTCCTGGTGCCTGACTTTGTTCTAAAGTGTGGCTCAGTCTGTGATTATTTTCTTTTTGTCCTGCTTGCTAGCTGCAGAATAAGTATAAATAATAACAAGAAAACGTTCCTACAGACACCACTCTTAGATTTTCAGTTTAATTTGAGTGATTATCAGACTTAGTTGTGGATCACCCCAAAATCTCCTCTTACGGTGCTGATGATTTTAACAGATACCGAAACTTATTGATAATAGGCATGCATTAATGCATCTTTAGTGGACTCTTTAGAAATGGTCTATGGACCTTCAAGAGACCATGGATGAGACCATGGATCAGATGTAGATTTGATCTCCATCTGGTCTGAATGCCAGGGTCAGTCTGCTCATTTGGAAGGACAAAACAGTATAAGTGATTTTATAATTTTTATTCTACTGGTAAGTAGAATTTTTGATTATCATCAGAGAAAGATTTGTAAGAGATCATCTAATTTTTGGGAATTAAAACAAAGAGCTTTAAAAAATTAATATGTGAAAGATCTGGAAATGTTAGATGGCACAGTAATTATGGCCAATCAAGATAAAAACATCAGACAAGAACGTAGTGAAGGCCTAGCCCAGGGAACAGCAAAAAATATCTTATTACATAGGAAAAGAAAAATGCGTCTCAATGAGCTTCCTTGTCAGAATGGTGTTAATGAGAAAACAGGTCTTTGATAGCTCACTGGAGTGGAATGACGTTCAGGAAGTGTTAAGGAAATAGATACTGAGAACATGTGGCAGAGCAAGAGAAGGGCTCATCATGAGTGCTGGGGAGACTTGAGGGTAATGGATCTGTCAGCTGCACCCAGAGATGCATTTGCAGTGCAGTGAACCTGAAGTTTAAAGCTAATGTAGAGATAAAATGAGATGATGTAACAAGAGCTGTGTTACGAGCTGCAGCTGAAAAATCTCTTTATTGGAGGTTTTCTTCTTTTCCTGTTCAATATTATCACAAATTGGGTTTGTTGTACCTGGAGAAGGAAGGCTTTGGGATGATCTAATTGCAACCTCCCAGGACCTGAAGGGAGCCATCAAGAAAGATGTGGAGAGGCTTTTTACAAGGGCATGTAGTGACAAGACAAGGGGGAAAGGGCTTCAAACGGAAAGAAAGTAGGTTTAGATTAGATATTAGGAAGAAATTCTTTACTATGAGGGTGGTGAGGCATTGGAATAGGTTGCCCACAGAAGTTATGGATATCCCATTCCTGTAAGTTAGACAGAGCTCTGAGCAACCTGGTCTAGTGAAAGGTGCCCTGGCCACGGCAGTAGAGTTGGAGCCAGATGATCTTTAAGGTCCCTTCCAACCCAGGCCATTCTATGATATATGTCAGAATTACCTTTCATATAATTGTGGAGTGTCAAAGTCTATAGTCACTCTCTACTTTTTAGGACTTATGTAAAACCCATAGAACGGCTTAGTGGGCACCTGGCATCCAGCCAAGGTCAACTCACCATGTCTTCTCTAATAGTTTTTACTCTGTCTCGTAAGCAACCTGTTGTTTAAACATACATTTGCCCATTCAGACCTAATTTACATGTGGTTGCATTCACATTGTTCCTTAATTTTAGGGAAGGTGATGTTAAATGTTGCAACTACAGTATTGGGTACATGGAGTTTCTTCTATGTGTAGAGTTGGTGCCATCTTTTTGGCAGCACTGAGTCACTGTGGCACATATCGTTTTTGTTGTTCATTCTTCCTTTTCTTAAGTCAACTGGCAGATGTTGGGATTTCAGGTCAGTGTACTTTAACACCTCTGAAGCCTTCTATTTTAGTGGTAGCTGCATAATCAGAACAGTAGCATTAGTTTTTGTTCCTCTACATGCCCTATAAATTCTGAACAGACACAAGTGGAGGTTCAAGTGATCACTGCTTAGATGTTCTGCAGCTTCTTAATTTGTGCACAGTTGGCCTGTGGTCATGTTCTAGTTGTGTGAAAGGTGCATCTGCTGCTATTGTTAGAGAATTTGCCGAGTACCAAAGCAAATGGAGATGACAGTAGTTATCACTTACTAACATAGCTTGTTATATTATTCCCTAGAAATGTACATTATTAAAATATAGAAATCTCTCAGGGCAGTTGATAAGATGAAAGAACTTTAATGAAAAATTCCCAAAGGGAGTTGTCATCCTAAAGAATCTTTTGGTAACAGAAGCATCATGATATACAGTTCAGGAAAGTAGCACTTCAGGTTATATAAGTTCAGATAAACATGCTTGTTTTCAAATTGTGTTCTACGCGTTCTATCTATTTTTCCTGAATTCATGTTTCTTCTTCAAAATGAGATGAGATTGTCAAAAGCATCTCACACTGAATGCAGTCACTTTTACTTTTTCCAGTATTTAAAAATATTTGTCAACCAGTGCATTGTACATGGCAAAGGGTTTCAAGCACAGGTATTGTGGTGTGTGTAAGAGCTGCCCTAGGAAATTTTACCTCTGGAAGATATTCTTCTAACTCGGTTCTACTTGGCATGCCTTTTAAGTGGGGTCTTGACCATTGCCAGTGATAATAGACTGATTAGTGAAAGTCTGCTGTAGCATATTAGTGTAAGAATACTTTGACTTCTGAGAACTTTGTCAGTGTCTAAGTTATCTGCAGGAATTGTGTGTCTTTGTGTGTGCTTCTATTAAGTCACGTCAGACCCATAAAACTCTGGTTTTTTCCCACCGTGTTCTGCTTCTACAACCATTTCTGTGTACCAGCCATATATTTTCTGTTAATGTGGGGAGCTATTTAGGTACGTTCCTCTTTCTTTTGCCTTCTTTCCCTTTTCTGCACTTGGAGAGGTGTGTCAGTGCTCTAAGAAAAAAAGGACATTGGGTATTGCTATCAAGATCAGCCATCATTTGTCCAGTGAAGATATCATAGAATCATAGAATGGCCTGGTTTGGAAGGGACCTTAGAGATCATCTAGTTCCAACTCCCCTGCCATGGCCAGGGACACCTTCCACTAGATCAGTTTGCTCAAAGCCCAGTCCAGCGTGGTCTTGAACACTTCCAGGGATGGCGCATCCCCAACTTCTGTGGACAACCTTTTCCACTGCTGCACCACCTTTGCAGTAAAAAATGCTCTTGCACAGTAAAAAATGCTCTTGTAAAAAGTCTCTCCACATCT